GTAACGCACAGAGTGCAAGGGTCAGAAGGAAGTAACGCACAGAGTGCAGAGGTCAGATCTAGGACTTTACTGTTTGCCCTGACTTGGGTATATGTCAGTTGTGTAAAAAGAAGTGTCAGCATTGTGTAGAGCAGCCGTTACTCATTCCTCGTTGGTACTGGGAGACCATCAGAGTGCTGTGCAGAACTTGGTGGAGCAGTGCACTCAGGGATTCCTAATTGGCGCGTGGATGCTACTCTACAGCTGTCCAAAGGAGTCCCCTGCCAGGCCCCCAGGTATTCACATATAGGTGGCCCCTTCTGCCACGGCCATGAACATAATTGATAGGCAGCAGTGTCCTAAGCTTCTGTCACTGACAAGAAGCCCCTCTACCTCCCATTTGCAACCCTCCGTGAGCCGGCGGGACATAACACTGGAGGATGGCATTGCAGGACACTAACCTACAAAGTGTGACAGTTGGCAGCTGCCATGGGCCCCCTCATGGCTGCAGGCTCTTGGGCAGTGCCCGAACGGTCGGTCTGCCCCCGTGTCCAACACTTCCAGGTGTGTCAAATACCTGCTCCCCCTCACCCTCCTTGTGGTTCTTCCGGCCAGCTCCTACATTACTACATGCCATAAAAGTCAGCAGGAAGAACCACATTGTGCAGCAGGAGAAGCAGATATTCATCACACACCTACAAGTGTCACACACCTACAAGTTGTGCAGCAGTCGGGGATCAGCAACATTGTTTTTAAGACACAGACTTCTAAGAAGTTAAGAATACAGCATTTGTATTTTACAGGGTGGCTGTGGTTTAATTTTCATCCTGTAATGATAGGGACACTTTAAATGTCTACATTTATTGTTTGTTTTATCTAGGGATTTTATCTAGGGACTCGCCACCTGTCTTCCTGATTAGCCGGGACGCCGGGCAGCGTGTTTACTCGCCACCCGGCTTCCCGATTAGCAAGGAAGCTCTCCCCATGCTTCTCGTCACTACGCGACGAGAAAGCATGGGGCCGGCTTGCTGGTCAATCAGAAGGCCATGAGATGACGAGGGAGCATGAAGCCGGCTTCCCGGCCAATCAGAAAGCCGGGCGCTGTGTCACTACACGGCGCCCGGCTTCCTGATTGGCCAGCTTCCCGACTAATTAGGAAAGCCGGGCAGCGCTGCCTGGCTTCCTGATACAAGAAGTATCGGGCTAGGCATTGGAGCATTTGGGCGAGTACTAGTGGATACCTTTAGTATGGATTTTGTTGAATCCAGTATTAGAAATAAATAAGGAGGTGAAGTTATAAGCTGCTGAGAAGAGTCAATAGACTCTATGTAGCTCAAGGAAAATGGCTATCCTGTTCTTCTGCAGGCTCAATATTGAGTCAAGCCATGATTCAGGGGATTCAGAAATTTTATCACAAAAAGAAGACCTAACTGGGACCCTCATTTGGCAAGTTCAGTCATTCCCCAAAATGCAGAGCTGTCACAATTTTAAAGGATAATTAAATCTTTGTTTTTTTTTTGCATATATCTACTGTAGACATATGCAAAAACATTTTAAAAAAGTTACGAAAAAGGTTTAAATTTACCTGTGTCTCCACCGCGTGCTCCCGTCCGAAGATATGAAAAATCTCAGGTGGCTGCAAAGGATGATGGGGTGGGCGCATGCGCAGTAGAGATCTTCAGCCAGGAGAAGAGGAGAGACAAAAGGTAAGACAATGCAGGCAGCCTGGCAGCGTGCACCCACACAGACTCTGTGGGACGCAGAACACACAGCAGTCAGCGCTGGATCAGAGACCAACACCAGCGCAGGAGGGACTCCTGAAAACTACTAGAAAGAAGATGATCGGATCAAGAGCCATCATTTAACGTTAGTCCTTACACTAGCATTGGGGGAGGGGGGGGGTCCTTTAATGTCACTTGAAGGCCAAAATCTCTTTGCTATTGTCTTAGCCTGCACTGTTCACAGCAGTTTTTCCAATTTCACTTGAGTGACAAATTACTTCTGCTTCTTTTTGATGTTGTCTGGGAGGTGAATGTACAACCAATTTAGTAGGGATGCACCAATAAAAAAATGTCTATACCGAGTACGAGTACCGATGCTTTTCCTCAAGTACTTGTCGATACCAATTACCAATGCTTTTTTTAGTATCATGTGACAGTTTTTCTAAAACAATACAGACTAATGACTTTAGGACAGTGGGGGAGCACCGGGACCCGGTCGTAACTGCAAACAATGCACCCCTGGTAGCCACTGACTCCAAGTCACAGAAGGTGACAAAACTACAAATCCCAGCAATACATTCTACAACAATGCAGAATATCATCAGCTATAGAGGACTACAAAACCCAGCAATACATCATACAGCAGTGCAGAATATTATCAGCTATAGAGGACTACAAATTTCAGGGATACATTATACCACAATGCAGAATACCAGCAGCTATTGAGGACTACAAAATCTGTCCTGTTTGGAACAAACAGGGTCCTGGGCAGACTATTAGCTTTGGGTCTCCCGATTCCCTCTCAAGCCACCTTCCCAATGCTTACTCGGTTTACATACTTCAATTCATAGTTCAATACTGTAAAAAAAATAGGAAATAGATCTTCTTCTGTAATGCTACTTTATTCTGTGGTGGATTGTGATCTAATCCTCTTCTTGTATCCTCCCTTATACCATAACTGTAAACTCTTCCACATTTTTATCCACATGCTTTACCACAGCATGCAAAACAAATGGCAAACGCACTCATCAACTTGTGACCAGCTTTACAGCAAGGTGCACATGGAAGGGCTTAATACAGTACATCAGCAAAACGTTTCCCAGCACACTCACCAGCCAGCATGCAAAAAAAACTTGTCTCACCGCTAAGGTTAAAAACAGAGGTTTAGATACACGTCTTCTGCAGACTAAACTATGAGAGTCTTCATCTTGTTTAGAGTAAGGACTGCACTATATAGAGGTGCCTTGGCGCGGGCTGTGCAGCTTTCACATTTTCTGCAGAAGACGTGTATCTAAACCTTTGTTTTTTGGTGAGTGTGCTGGGAAACTTTTTGCTGTTGTACTTTACCACAGCATAATGTAACACTCCAGGGGGCTGATTTATAAATGTTCAGTCCAGCTATATGCTCACTCATATTGACTATTGTATTGCACTGTGAAGTGCTGTAGTGCAGGTACATTTTGTATGTGCACTGGGGTGCACAATTTGTAAATAGGTGATGCATTAAAAGTCTTCACAGCTGATCAGTTTAGAGTTGAACAAAAACTATGGCCCCAAAAATTCTTCTTCTCCCTCTGACGTGTGCAGGGAAACCTAGTAAGTGTTGCTTAACAGGCATTTAAGTTTTTCAGTGTGATGATAGTGAGGTCTAATTATCCCCAAACTGTGTGGAGAGAATGCGGAATTAGTAATGAACACCATGCCACCCTCAGTTACTACTCTCTGCAGAGAGGAGACTGTGAGCTGAGTCATTGCTCAGCTCTCGATATATAGAGCCGGTGTGTGACAGCTGCAGTGTCTCACGCTTGCTTTAAGTATAGAGAAAAGTATATTTTACTCTCCTT